AAATTCGAGTTTATAATAAGGAATATAGGAAAATGATCGGATATATCTGTTTTTAAAATACCTTTTTGAATATCTTTATTAAAAATATCAGTTGTAATGATATTATCTATTAGGGTAGCCGAGTTTATTGTTACCCTAGTAGGGCGATTAATTAAGGGTATAGACCCTGTTTCAAAAATTGTGTCATAAAATTTTTTAACAATATACTCATCGTTATAAAGAAAACAATTCATATTAAAGTCCCCAATTACAAAGCTCTTTTTTTTTTCTGCGTCGCTGGTATTTACGATATGTTGTAAAAACATGCTAAAGTTTTCACTCACGCCGTCAGGTGGTCGATAACAACAGCTTAGTAAGGTTTTTGTTTTTTCGAGTAAAAGTTCAATTGTTAAAACTTCTTTATCGCCATCGGAGACGCTTAAATCGTTTCTCATATTATAAAAGATACTTTCATGAACATAAATTAGAAGCCCTCCACCTCGTTTACTCGTTTTTCTTTCTTGTGAGATAATTTTAAAATGAGGAATATTAAAATTATAGTCAAAATCGTTTAATGTAACCCATGTTTCAGTTAAACAAATGATATTAAATAGATTTTTTGTTTCTTCTAATAAATTTAAAAGTTTTTCAAAATTCCGATTTAAGCTTCTTATATTGAGGTGGAGAATTCTAATTTGATTGGAACTTTTTTTAATTGCATTTTGAAAAAGAAAACCTTCAAGCTCTTGAGGATAAAAATAAGCACAATCCGTAAAAGTATCGTAATAAAAATTATTATCTGGGTCTATGTTTTTATCAGAGGAAAAGTGGTTTCCTTCAAAAAAATTAAAAGAAATGGATTCAAAATCGTTCATAAAAGCCATGATTATTAAAATTAGGTTAAGGTTTATTTTTTAGAATGCGTAATTCGATTATTTGTTTGGAACGTTTTTTAAAATATTAGTTTTAAAAGAAATAATTTTATCGTAACGAACCGAAACATTCTCACCGTTTAAACGTCGTTCTTTTACTTCCGCAAATAGTTTTCTTCTGATTGCAACTGTTTCGCGAGAAAAATCCTCGTTTACATAAATGTTTGTTTCTCTGAGACGAGCTGATTCTTTCAAAATCTTAGCTTTGTCTTTGTATTGTTGAAGTTTTAAAACTATCACCCTCGAACGTCCATCTTTTTTTGGCCCAGTGCGATGTGCTCGTTCAATTTCAATACTCTTTATACCCAGTTTTTGTAGAAAAAATGAATAAACTTTTTCTTCGGTTTTGTCCCAAGATTCTACTTCGTCTTCACATATTCCCTAAATTCTCAAGTTATTTCTCCGCGATCTATCTTCGAGGTTACGGATTTTTTCGTTTAGAAATTCGTTATTAGTTCTTTCTTTCTCTAATTGTTTGTTGATGTCGATTTTGTTTAAAAAATGTTTGTTGTTACTTTCAATCTTTTTATCAATTACGTGTTCTTTGAAGTTTAAACTTTCTTTTATATCTTCAAGCTCTATTTCAATTTTTTTAATCTTGTTTGCATTTTGAGTGATATTTTTCTCAAATTTATCCAATCGTTCGTTTAATATTTTTGTATTTGCACTAATAATATCAATTACTGTTTTTTCTTGGTTTTTTAATAAAACTAAAGTTTCCTTTTTAAAATCATTAAGCATTTCTTTCATCGTTTTTTTATTTCTTTAAGTGTTACAGCCATACCTGATGTTGATAGGATCTTTTTAGTTAGTAGATTCGTAGGTTTTTTAGTTGTTTCTTTATTATAAATTTTTTTTTACTTACTGCTCGGTGTAGTAAAGGCGATTTTGTAAATCGCCTTTACTACACCGAGCAGTAAGTAAAAAAAAAAAAAAAGTCCGTTCGTGGTGAATGTTCGCAGTTATGATGGTGAGGGTTAGGGTTAGGGTATATATACATATAGGGTATATAGGATATATGTAGCTTCAGTTCAATCAAAAAATTTTCTTCAAACAAGTGATATTAAACAATTGATATAAAACTGGTTGTTTATAGTGGGGTGTTTTTCCTGCTCGATGTATGTGTACATTCTATGTAAATTTACGGCTACAACTATAATAATAATAATAAAACTAAAATACAAAGTTAATATATTGTTTCTGCTGTTCAGAAATTTAAAACCTTAAAAAGTTTAAGCCTGTAAAAATAAATAAAAATTCATAATTTAATGATTATGTTGGTCAAAATTCTTGGCTAATATTTTAAATCAGAGCCGTCTCGAGGGGGTATAGGGAGTGTCTAGCCCCCCAACAAATTTTATTAGTGGGCAAATCGGTTACTGGAGTCGGATAAACTGGATTTATAGTTGGCAGTCGGCAAATGTTGAAAAACGAAGACCTTTTTCTTCTTTTTTTTAAGATAAGTTATTGAGCGAAAAATTTCATTGTGGCTTTAGTCGGCAAAAAACTGACACGTCACCCCTTCCCCCTTTAAAGTCTCTTCGGGACGGGCCTGTTTAAAATAGTTCCTTACTGATTAAAGAAAAATAACTGAATTTTTTATGTATATTATTTATAAAACGTGTTTAATTTTTTTGATGAATATTTAAAAGTATTTAGATAAATATACAATTAGAAACATAGTAAAAAACCAGGTCATTAAAAGAAACCAGGTTATATTTTAAAATGTGTCATCTCGAGAACTTTTAAATATTTTGAGCTCAAGTTTTATACGAAACTTTCTAATAGTTAACGAATAATTGGTCAAAAATGACTTTCTTCAAAATATTCAAACCTTCAGGTCAGCAAAATTGAAATATTTTTAAAACTTTTTTTTTGGATTGTCTTGTATTGCAACGCAGAATGGGAAAATAAAGTGGCAAAGTTATAAATTTTCCGACCCTTAAAAACGGACCTGCTAAATTTTGTTTTCGAAACCGGAAGTAAAACTTGTTTATTATTTTTGAAATAATAAACAAGTAATAATCGGTCAGAACCGTTGTTATTTTTACGTATCTGTAAAATTGCAACAATTCGTAGAAGTTTCGAACAATGCAAATACTTTAATGTCATAGTTTTTTTGTTATTTGACAAGCTACAGTTGTTTAGGTTTATTATGAATTATTTTAATAAAAAGTTTAATAATTGTCGTTATTTTATTAGATTTTTCATATGTGCGATCATTAATCCCGTTTCTAGTAATCCATTATTAATATTTGTTTTCATTAAAAATTAAATCGTTTTTGTATATCATATTTTAAATATGATATATAAAAACGATTTAGTTTTCGATAAAAACATATTAAAATCATTTACTACGTTTTTAAATTTGTTAAATGATTGTAAAGTTCTCAAACATAGGGTCTCATGTTATACAATTTTATAGGTTTAACATGATAATCTACTATTAAAATATTTAAAAATTTGTGAATGTATAATATTAATAGAATTGAAATATATTTACTCGATAATAATATATATTTCATGTAATCATTAGTAATGATGCAAATAAACCTGGAGCTAACTCTACCTATTATGTTACCTGAAATCATTTAATAGAATATTCCAAAATATTGCACTATTAGTTTTTTGTAAACTTAAATCAGTATTTATTTCAAGAAAAGAATATATTTACCTATAATTTATATACTATTAATTTGAAACTAATATTGTGGTGCTTCTCAAAACACATTTTAGGTCTAGTTTTTTTTAACAATTTTTAATAAGTCCCTTTAGATGTCAAAAGAGCTATGGTAACCAACCTCTAGCTTCCTAAGATTTGGAAACATTTGTAGAGAATAAGCACATGTGGCGAAGACTTTAACATCTTGAAAAGTTTAGGATCCAAATAACATTTTGTCTTTTCAATGTGCTTAGTATTAAAAGACAAGAGAAGGCCAAGTGTTTTCTGTTAAAAGATCTAAAAGTATAAGAATCAGATGCTTGCTACTAATATTTTAAGGATCAAGCATGATGTAAAAGTATATTATACTTTTACATCATGCTTATACATCATGCTTTTTTATCAATCTTATATATCATTCTTTTACATCATACTTATATATCATACTTTTACATCAAACTTATTTATTATACTTCTGAAATTAATATTATAACAATAACAACCAGTTTTTTTTTATAACGAATTATATAAATTCAGGCCTAATAATCATTGTTCATTTAGATATTTTATATTCTTGATTAATATATTGACATGGTGTAACACTTTTTTGTTTAAAATTTTAATTATTAAAAAATAAAAATATGAAATAAAATTTTTACTCTCTCGCCAGTTTATTCCTAACTATTTTCTGCTTTTTACTGAAATTCTCAAATATTTTATGAAACAAAATAGTCCTTGTAAAGATTAAATTTTCTAATTGTTCAGTAGGAATGTAGATTCAGTAGGATAAACAATTAAATCCTTCTTTGGACCATCTTGCTCATATGTTTAGTAGCAAAAAAACAAACAAAAATACATAAATAAAAAACCATTAAAAATTTTTTTTTTTTTTTTTTTTCTCTCTACATATAAATGATGTTATATAGGGTTATAAATGATGTTGTATAGGGTTTGCAAGCAAATTTTAAATTAAAATCATTCAAATACTGCTGAGTTAGAACCAAAGTCATTATTAAATTTAATACGGATATTTTCTTAATAATACCAATAATCTTGATAGATAGTTTAATATAGTGGTAGCAATAATGATAATGATAAAGTGATAATAATACCAGTATTAAAAATAATATAAAGAAAATATTTATAATTATAAAATATTATTTTTATAATTCTTTATTAAATAATAATTACAAAATTTTATTAAAATGTATTTAAAACCTAGAATTGTTTATTGTTTTTATCATCATTATCATCATCATCATCATCATCATCATCATCATCATCATCATCATCATCATCATCATCATCATCATCATCATCATCATCATCATCATCATCATCATCATCATTATCATCATCATCATCATTTTAATCATTTGAATAGTTTAAATATTTTAACTTTTACTTAGTATTAATTATATTTTTAGAATACTAAAATAGATTGTAAAATATGAGAAGAGCTGGTAAGCTGTTTTTGTCAAAATGTCTTTAAAATGTTTTTTTCAAAGATGTATTTTCTAATTATCTTTTTATATTTTTTGAGTTTTAGTTATAATGTAATGTCTTCTTACCTGAGTTTCAAAATTTTAAAACCTTTCCAAATTTATTTGAACAATCTCAGCTGAACATTTGTTAGTATCTGCTATTATCTGTTATGTAGCATATTATAAGTATTACTAAATAGCTACTATATAGCTGCTGTGTAGCTGCTGTGTAACTGGTGTAGCTAATGGATGATTCTATGTAAAAGGAGAACAACCATTACACCCACTTCAGATTTTCTTCAAGTCTTTAATGGTACCTCTCTATGAAACATGAAGAAATTTAAAAGTTAAGCACTCAGCTTCAAACAGTAAAAAAATTATGTTTTAGAATTCAGTTCTAAAGACCCTTTTTTTTTACTTTTTGTTTTATTTATTTTGATTTACTTGAGTTATAGTCAAAGAAAATGATCGAAATCATTACCTGTCGATTTTTGAATTTGCTGAATGCAAAATGAAGAGGTCAACCCAATTAAAAACTTTTGTTGATCATTTTTCCTATTTACTATTATCTTGACAAATTTCTTATTTTATTATTGGTTAATTTTTTTTTCTGGAGTTGCTGATCTTTTATGGGTTGAACTACTTAATATAAATAATAGTTAAGATTACTTAAAACATTTTATTTATTATTTTTAAAAATAATAAAAATTTTACATATTGTTTTTAAAAGTTGACTAACACTCTTATTCTTTCATCTAATAGATAAAATTAGATGTAAGTGATTCTGTCTTCAATGGTAAATCTATGTCTTGTACAACAAAAGTGTAATTCTCTGTTGTACAACTAAAGTGTAATTCTCTGTTTTACAACAAAAATTCTCTGCAAAATTTTAAAGAACAACTGTCTTATCAAGAATATTTGTCTCTTTAAGATGCATTGTAATTTAGCATAAAATAAACGAGAGCTATTTCATAATTTGCTGAATTTATTTAATGGAAGTTTAGTTGTTATTAGGACAGTTTTTATTCACTATTTTAACTCAAACATTGGTTGTTCATTTTCTTCTGGATTAAAATCGATTTTATCTGGATTAAAAGTTATATAATAATGTTGTAAGTCATTTTAGCAAAATGTTATTACATGTTCGATTGGTCAATTATGACTGTTGCATTGGTCAATCTTGCAAAGTTTTGATTCTTTATTACAATTAATTAATAGTAATAAAATAAAAAATTAGTAATTAAATAAAATTGTTTCAAGTTCAATAAACATTTTACAGTATTTTCATATTTTATTTCAACAAAAATGAACCATTTACGCCAAATGCCACAGATTTTGAGTATCCAATTTTGTGGTCTAGGTACTTTATCATATATGTGGCATACTTTAATGTGGCTACTTTAGTTTACGCAAAATTAAATTTTTTTTCTGATACTAACTCTTTTATTTGATATAAGCATTAAATAGTTATTGTTGTGGAGCCGTAATAAATAACCGTAATAAATACAAATTTTTGGCATTTTTTAAATATTAAGTCAAACACAATTCAAAATCTACAAAATGGATTTTATAGCACATCAGTTAAATATAATTAAAATAACTCAAGTTAATTTAACCAAAATATTACAATGATGTAAGTGACATCAATTATTATTATTTAGTTCATAATGCATAATTCATTAGAATATAACAGTCTTCTCTGTTTTAAGAAAGTTTTAGCTTGAGGTGTAATGACTTACTCTCGGATAATACTCTATGAAGGAAAGTAGTCATCAAGATACTTTATTCTTTTTGAGAATAAATTAGATTGCTTGTCAGGAGTAGTATAAAGCTCCATTTGAAGAAAACAAATCCTTTAAATCAAATTGTACTTGTTGCCATAACTTAAAGTATTCTAAAGAATTTTCTGAACATAATTATAGAGAAAATATTTTACTAAATTGAACTGAAAATTATTGGAATACACTGCCAGAATATGGTGTTTTTAAGCCAATTCAGTGAATTTAAAGCAAGACTTGATCAATGGGAGTCAAGCCATTCAGTGTGCCATTTAAAGTGTGCCATTCAGTGTGTCATTTAAAGCAAGACTTGATCAATGGGAGTCAAGCCATTCAGTGTGCCATTTTAAGTGTGCCATTCAGTGTGTCATTTAAAGCAAGACTTGATCGATTGGAGTCAAGCCATTCAGAATTCAGTGAATTTAAAGCAAGACTTAATGATGGGAGTCAAGCCATCACAAGACCCAGCTGTCAATAGTGTACTTTAGAAACACACTCACTGGTAGTAATGCCAGTCACAGCATAAACTAATAATAATATTAAATACTAAAATTCTTAAAAACCTCCTTATTTCTTTTAATTTTTTAACTCAAAAAAAGTTTGGCCACCCTGTGATACCTTTTTAAAACAAATATGTATTTTGGATTTTACTTTTGGAAGCTAAAAACACTATTGCTGCTTTTATGTTCAAGTTTTTTTGATCAATGTAGAAATTTAAAGTTGTTTTCCTTTGTCCGAAACTTTAATTTTTTGATTCATGCATTTAATAAGCAACTTTAGATATTCAAGGTTTTTAGTGAAATCCAAGTTGCAAATTCTTTATACTGCTTTTTCAACTTACTTCCTCTTTCTTAGTGAAGGCTTGTTGGAGGTTTTGCATAAAAGAGGATACTTTAAGTTCACACAAACTTTTCTTGTTGACTCTAGTACAATGTTATCTCTATCTTGTTCTCCTCTGATTCTTTATTTGATGCTGATCAATGTTGGGATCAAATATATATATTTGGTAAAAATGAGCTAGTTTGGCCTATTTCTATTTGTATTGTATTTGATAAAAAATTTTCTTAATTATTTGTATTTTTATTTAAACGATTTGTGTTTAGAGTTCTATAAAAGGTTAACTAGTGTTTTTTTTTTAAAAATAATATGATGTTCATTTTTGCTTTTCTTTTTTAACACTAAAATAAATTCCTCTATATAGAAGACCATTTAAAAGCAAATTTTTATAATTTTTCTTGACCTAAATTAAAACTATTTGTATTTATATTTATGTTTGAAATATGTTGATTGCATATATTTGTTTTTTGAATTTGTATTTGGAAATCTAGAATTAACGTATTTGTATTTGATCAAATATATTTGACCCCAACCCTGATGCTGATTTACTTCTCCAGTACTGCTTAGAGACTTAGCTATATCAAATTTGATTTTACAGAGTGTGTAACATAAAATGTTTTTTTTTAAATATCTATAAAAGTATTAACAAAGCCACTTAATGCTGAAATTTTTTTGTAATTTTTTCTGCACTTTTATAGGTTACATAAAAATCATTTGTAAATTATTGATATGACAAGCAGAGGTGTTAATGTTGTCAGACAACTTTCATATCAGTTTAACTACAACAGAGCTTGTCATTCACTGTTTGCCATGGCCAAAAATCTGAATTTCTAAATCAGACCCAATAATTATTTCATCTGTTTTAGAATACTTTTTAAAATGTAACTGATATTACAATACTTAAAATACAATTTAACTGATATTACAAGACTTAGAATACAATGTAACTGATATTACAAAATATACAATACAATGTAACTGATATTACAATACTTAGAATACAATGTAACTGGTATTACAATAATATTACAAACTGATGACAACATATTTTTTTATCATAGTTAATAAAAAGATATTAAAGTTAGAAAAATGAGTACTCCGGAGTGGAATTAAAACTGGAACCCTGTTAGATGCGCCTCAAAATTAGACAACTATTTTATTCATAGGGCTATACTATTATATCAAATAGATAAAAATTAAAGTATTTTTTTGTGTACAAATAAGGTTTTCATTATGTAAACATTATTTGTTCAAATAATGAGAGCAACAATGTAATAAGAACATTGTTTGTACATAGGGATGGCACTTTTACTTACTTTTTTTTTTTACTTTCACAAGGAAATAAATTTTTTTGAAAAAGTTTATTAAGTAATTGTCACCTATGAAATTGAATTTACAAAAAAGTAATTTATTTTTATGAAACAACTTTTACTTTATAAAGTAAGTTTTTTTACTTTCAAAAGTAACTTATGTAAAAACAGATTACATCAAAAAGTAATTTACTTTTACAGGTAAAAATAAATCTCATAAAAAAGCAATTTACTTATACATATAAATATTAATTACTTTTTCAAATTACATTACATAATTTAATAGTTCCTCAAAATGTAATTAACATTTACATATAAAAATAATTTATAAAAAAAATACTATATTACTGTAACTGTAAAAAAAACTTTTATATGAAAAAGAATTACATAAAAATAATAAGCGACCAAATATAAATAAAATTTACTTATAAAATAATATTATATAAATTGTCATTTTTCATTATGTAAGTAAAAAAATTTTTTTGTAAAAAATTAATTATATAAAGAAAAAATTCTATTACATGTAAGCTTATATTTTATATAATTTTTAAAGTAAACTAAAAATAATTTATATTTTATAAGTAAGTAAATTTACTTTTATTCTAAAATAAATTAGAGAGGATATTGTGCAATCGAGTGAAATGCAAAAAGTACAACGCATCAAAGTAACTAACATTTATTTTTTGTGGTCATTTTTTGTGAGCTGTTTTGGCTTTTAAAACATAAATAATTTGGATTTTTACATCTAATAAACATTATCAAGGCCAAAGAACTGTAAAATGATCTTTTACAGCTGAAAATAAAAACTATAATATTTTGTTAAAAATTTACTTTATATCTTTTCTACTGGCACAATTACCCTCATTTTAAACTTATTTTAGATATTTTTGGAAATTTCTAGCGGTCTCTAATAGCCAGAAGGAAAAACATATCTAATAATTACTTTTTCAAGTAATTAAAGTAATTTTTATAGAAAAAAAAACTAAACTAAAATTTAAAAAAATTTAATCGCAATTTTTTTTTCTTACTAATTCAATTTTACAAGTTTTAACAT